GGGACCCGGGGGGGGGGCTTCCACCAGAGCGTGCGAGCACACCCAGGGCTGCGAAAACCCAGCGATTTTCCAGGGACGAGCAGGCAGGGGGTTCCTCTCCATACCTCTCACTGTGGGTGCCCCTTTGAACCCTCCCTCGCACCCCTGCTCTCCCACTCCTCTGTGTGGTCCCCCCGAGCCCCAGGGCCGGGCTTTGAAATCTGTTGAAAAGAAACCCTTTTTGCCAAAATAAACAGCCTGTCATGTTAAATTATTCTCCCTTCCTCTCTCTGCCTCCCCTGCCTACGTCCCCCCTCCCCACCCCAGCCTTTTTGTTGGGGGCCGCGCCGCTCTGGGTGGAATGCTGGTGGGGCGCAGGGGTCCTGGCACTGGGGCCAGCGCGGAGCCGGGGCGCTGGGGCAGAGCATCACCTACCTCCCACATCCCGGTGTCCCTGTCCCCCGCCAGCTCCTCCACCCTCCGGCTCCAGTGCCCGATGCCATTCTGCTGGGTGGTGATGGCATCTTGCAGGGTCCAGGGCTCAGCAGTGACGCTGCGCACGGTGTCCTACGGAGGGACGAGCTGGGTGAGGGACGCTGGGGGCTCACTGCAGCCCCTCGCCCACCCCTCCCACATCCAGTGCGCCCATGCCTCTGGGATTTTTTTCTTCTCTCTCCTTTGCCCTGGCTCTTATTTTTGGGTTGTTTTCCCTCTCCTGTATCTAACAGAGCAAAAATTCGTAGAACCATGAAATGCTGAGATGGAAAACGAGCGATTAGCTCATTCAGCCCAGCCCCTCTGCCAATGCCAGGCCATTCCCTGCGAGCCTCCCGGTCACTTGTCCAGACTGAGCACCATGCACTCCAGCCGTGTCTTCCACAGCCTGACTGATCTTGCTTGGAAATTTCCCCCCCTCTCTCGCCTCTGATGGTGATGTGCTACCTTTCAGCCTACCCCTGGGTTACCTGTCCTGGTGCTGCCCTGAACGCCCAGCCCCGCACCGCGCCTGGCCGTGCCGCTCACCCCCATGCAAGGCATGGCCTGAGGCAGGACTCAGCCCCTCGGTGTTTTGGGCATGGGGTGGCCTCACGCCCCATGGCCCCCATGAAAGGTCACACCGCCAGCCAACCTTCCCCGGCAGCTGAAGTG